CCCCAGCATTTGCATAGGCATTTAAATTGGGCTCCCAATTAAGCTGACTTACTGCCTGGAATTCCTTTGTGTTGCCTTTCAGGTGCTCTCCTGCTGACCTGAGATGCCTTTTCAGGTTCTGGCCATCTATTGCTTGCACTGGCATCAGACTGGTAGGAGTGGGATGGACTGAGGTTCCCCTTGTGGTAACTCAGCTTTTGTACAAGCAAAAAGTTGCAATCCTTGGGCAAATAAACAACTGAGAAAGTTACAGCTTGATGTAAGAAACACTGTCACAGATACTAGGGAACACAAGCAGACAGAATTTATTTAGATATATTATTAGCTACATTAGTACTTATCTCATCTGGGACTATCCCGTCTATAGATTAAAAGCACTACAGGTAACATGTCCTTCCTAATCTACTGCCTGCTTTGATTAAAGATTGCCTCCAGCTATGGGATTTGTTGCAGGAGATTGAATCTGTCCTGCAGAGGGGCTTCAGCCAAATTCCTCAGATGCCTTCTAGGATTATTGCCCTACCAAACTGGAAATGGTAAACAAAACCACCCCAAATTGCAAACCAAACCAACCAACCAAAAAAAACATCTGGTGCAAGTAGTTGTAATAAAAATCTGCTGCAAAACCACACTAGAAATTAAGTTGACCACCTCTCTAGTACAGTCTTCCCCACACCAACTTTCCCCATAGTTAGTATTTTATATCTTGACATCAAACAAATGTATCATCTCCAAATAATGGGCTTTTTATTTACTTATTACTATGTATTTACTATTACTATTATTACTTTTTACTTACTTATTTGACATTTGATAAAAATTACTGACAAACCTTTCACTGTTTGTTTTTTTTTTTAAAGGGATAACTGGCTATCATTTCCTGAAGCATTTCTAATGCTTCACTCATCTTGCAGCTCTCAAGCAATGCAAGTTCCCAGGATAAAAGGTCACAAACTTTAGCAGTTCTCTCTCCCACCGTTTTACATAAAGGACTGGACACAGACTGGAACCATTACCTGAACACTTAGGGGTCTCTGGGCAGGTTTCAGGCATTTTCTCCCACCTATTTCCAGCTATTTACAAGATCTCATTGCTTAACCCTTTCCAATGCTGAAGTCATCAAATTGTTTCTTCTAGTAGCCCTTCCCTAGCCAAAGAGAAAACCCCCACTGCCTCTGCAATGCAAGCTGGCCACCCAGGTATGGGGGAAAGGCCCCATTGCAATCACATGTAAAAAATGTAACTTCTGTAACTGGTGCTTGTAGTCCTGAACACAGGACTACTTCAGTACACAGAAATAAATTAGTTGCCTTCTCACCCAGGAGCTTCATGGTGTGTTTCCAGGGCTATTTGTATAGAGCTTAAACCAAGCAAGTCCTACCCCTGACCAAATCCTGCTTCACTGAAGAAGCATTAATAATTCACATGCCAGGACAACAGGATGATCCGAAATTTCCTTTTCTCAGGATTTCCTCCTGCCCTCTCTGTACCCCAGGAAGAAAGACTCCGCTGGCACGCAGCCACCCTACGCGGCAAGCTTGCCGTATCCTAGCAAGCCTTCTCATGGCACGTACAGCAATGCCTTTTGTGGTTCTCTGACTCAGAATATCCAAAAGCAAACAGCAAAAACATTTGATCTGCCCCTCACTCCCACAGTAAAAGGCTGATATTAGGTTTTCTACAAAAATTCATAGCCAATGGACCTCAAAGACCCTCGGACTACAATATCAATCACTCCATTTCCACAGATCAGAAACTTTCCACAAATGTGAAGAAAAGCAGTGAAAAACTTGAATGAGATGGGCTAATGTTACTTGGAGATAGCAGAAAGGTGGAAAAAGCCTTAAGAATTTAAAAAAAAAAAAAAAAAGATTTATAAGAAATGACCCAAACCATACCTGGCTATTTTTTTTTGAATCTTCTGAGAAATCATTGTTTTCTTTGATTTGTGGTACATCACTACCCTTTTTTGCAAGCTCATCTATTCTTTCTTCACATTGTTCTTTTAATTCTTTCATCTGGTTGATGCACTGGGACCTGGAGAAAACATGAACAAGTGACCAGTTGTTAACTTCTAAAACGCTCTTTTCTAAAATGATTGATTCCTTTGTTATTATTATTATTTTCTTAGTTCTATTATCTGTGCTTACATTTAAGAACTCATTAGGAAAAAATAGGGTGTTAACCTAAGTCCTAAGGACAAACTTGTGGTGCAGGCAGTCCAAGGTTTACTGGAAGAAATTAATCTAAACTGCTTTTGTTAGACCAGCTCAACAAGCTACATGAATTTTCTTGTCTTCCGCTAACCAGTTAATTTCCATTAAGTCAAAATCAATTTTGATCCTCGAAGCCTTTCTAGTACAATAACAGAAATGCATATTTGGGTTTTAGCTAGGAAGAGGAAACAGCAAGGTACTAGTTAAAACAAAAAAAACCACGTGTAAGCTACTGCTAGCAAACTGAACACCATTTCTCAGTATTTCACCAAAGTGCAGTGCTGCAAGACGTAACAAAACATGTTACAGAAACTGAGTTCATCACTAGCTATTATAAGTTCCAAAAGGTCTGTCTTTTATATACTTTTACTAGTTACACAGTGCCATTAGTGCCTTAACCTTCACGACACCGAGGGTCTCCTGTTTGCAGTTTTGTAGCCTGCCTTTCCCTCACAGCTCTGTAACATCCAGCTAAACCCTAGGCTGTAGCAGCAGTGTTTTTCCTGAAGCTGCCAGGGCAGCGTCTTCCCCTTTTGTGGCTGTGCTGAGGATCCTGCGCAAACCCCAGAAGCGTTGTCAAGCTGGGTTTCTCAGGGAAAGTGACTGCCACCAGAGCAAGACCACCCTTTCTCCCCAGCTCTCTTCATAACCTGTTTTGTACCTTGCAGGTTGTATTAGAGGAGGAACGAGACCTAGTGAATAACAAAGCCAACAGGCATTACCCTGGAACACATGTGAGGAGGCTTAGAAACCAGTCATCATGCGATCCCAAGTATATTTTGATCCCACGGCAAACAGAACAAGCAATAGTGGGTTTGAGTGGATCCCAATGAGAAGCACATCATGCTAGAGGAAAATGTGGTGAAAAATCATAGTCGTTGTCAGCACCCACTGCCCTGGAGAGCATGTCCAAGGAAGAGGCTTGGCTGGGGACCACACTGTCTCTCTTCCCTGCTGGCCCCAGCAGCAAACGAATTTCTTGAGGTGTTTTTAACCCTTTTTTCCTTTCTCTCTCTCTCTTTTGTTTTTTTTTTCCACTCTGAGGTAACCGAGTTCAATGTATATACCATCAGCTACAGACCCTGCAAACACATCTTTCTGCACTGAAACCGCTCTCAGCATCCTTTGCACAACAACACGGTCAACATACTGCAAGTTTTACTTTCCCCTCACTAAGACAGAAGGCAGATGAATTTCTTCTGAGCCAGTGTTAATACACCCAGTGCAACAGCAGCTGGTTTAGATGAGCATTTCCAGTTTCCCAAACTGCAAATAAGCTACTACCTAATCCAGAGGCATTCTCAGGGCACATGCCCTCTGTAACACTAAGTCATTCGTTTTTATTGCATTTTCATCCTTCTCCACCCCCTCTTTTTAAATGCAAAAAAAATCTGTTCTGTAGTTCACATCCAGAAAGGAAGAAAAGCAGCAGACAGATATGCTATGAACTGGCAAATTAATTACCCTTATTACCATTTCTTCTTGACTAGATATTATTCTGAAGTCTAATTTTGCTAATGCTAATACACAGAAGAGTCATCAAAATTAGTGCTCCCTAAGTCAGTGAACATTAGAGACAATAAAGCAACATAGGCTTGAGTTATGCACACATTCACTAATTTCTAGGAAATAAAAGGACCCCAGAATTGCCTGCACCTGTTTGCAAGCTGAAGAAAGATGCAGTATACAGTCAACCTGCAGTTGGAGATAGAGTAAACTTTTGCAAATGCTCTTCCATCCCACACTGCACATGAAAAAAAAGAGTTCATTTATCATCTCTGCCAAATCCTCATCATTTTTAATTTACTATCTGTGAACTAATTCCCTTCTTGTAAAAGGAGTATCTGGAGATTTGAATACTCATGCACACAACAACTTCTGAAGCACAAGAACAGCACTAGTTTCTCCACCTCATCCCATTGACACAACATACTTCAAATATGCAAAACCAGTGCTCCTAAATTCTGTCTCTGTGGTGTTTTCTCTCTCACAACATTAAATGGAATTAGTTTCTGTGATAAAGAGCCCATCTGCGCACACACAAAAGAGCCCAAGTAATATCCTCCCCAGGTGCTCCCAGGCCTATCACAGGAGCCATTAGCCCATCCAAGGCCCACCTCCATGAGCCCAAAGGAGCACAGAGGCACAAGGGCAGTTGGGAGCCTAAATTACAGAGTCAGAAGAAAGGACACCCTGTCCAGATCACCCACAGCCCCAGAGCTGTCTCACATCAGCCTCAGCTCCTATGTCCAGGCCCAAACTCCATCAAGATGAGTCAACAGGACCAAGGTGTTTCCTGCCTCGGGTGGGGAACACATTATTGGACTCAGGTGCAGAACATGTCAAGATTGCACAAGACTTTTTAATGGATCAAACACAGGGAAAGGGATGGATCTCTGGCAGGAACAAGCACGAGAAAACAGAGAGATAAGGGGACAAACAGTCGGTCACATGCAAACATGTTGCTGGTTGGTGTGCTTGTCTGTCCTTGTCCTGCATCTGATCAGCAGTCTGTCCCATCTTTTATTAAATGCCTTTTTAACTCTTTCCTGGGTGAGGGACTCTCTGTTCAGTGTGTTTATGTGTGTGTACTGGGGTGTGACCGCAGCAGCTGGAGTCAGACTGGGGTGGGAGGGCTGCCTGTGGGTGATGCACTCAGTGTGCCAGCCAGTATGTATGTACGCGAGCATGTTTTGCACTAGCAGACCCCCACCCTCAGGGGAGCGGGATGAGGCTACTGGTGGTGTTCGTGCCTGTGTGAGTGCTTCGTGTGCCCACGTTATCCTGCGTACCTGGCCATGTGCAGGCATGCTCTGCGTGCACAGTAACGCATGTGCAGCCTCTCCCCTCCTGGGCTGCTGGATTTGCTGCTGCTGTCCCCACCATGAGAAACAGAGTACCTTTTTCCTCCAGAAGCATGTATCTTCAGCTCCTCTCATCCCTGCCAAAAAAGATTACTCGTGCACTCACCCCCTTATGCTTGTCAAGGCTGCAAATACCAAATTAATTACCAGATTTTTACACGTAGCAAAATTTCCAAAGCAGCAGCTGCATAACAAACAAAGCTCCTAGAAATCAAAATGCATCTGAATATTAAAATGTCTTCAGAAGATCAGTCCATTTCTCTCTGGTTGCTGCAGGAGAGAAGGGTCAGTGCTGCCAGTCTTTGCCAAACAAGCTGTACCAAGAGCAGACAGCACTAGGCACCGTGTGCACCAAGGGTATCTCAGTAAACTGATTGCTGAGGAGCGTGCACTCCTTTTGCACACAATACCAGTAAGCTCACATTAACTCCTGCTGGCTTCTATATGCAAAACACTAAGTTTGCTCAAAAAAAAAAATAATTCTGAAATGGAACTTCATGGGGCATGAGAAAAAACAATTATTTTTGTGCCTTCTAAGTTAACAAATTTTGTTCCTACGCATTCCACATGCACAACCAATTTCCTCACTGTCTTCTGCACTGCAATATCTGATTGTTCAGAAGGAGTGATTTACAATGTGTACAGTTAAAAAAGGCATTTGACTTCTGTCATCTTTTTATAATACTTTCGATTATACAGTAATACACTCTCTTCTTTTTTCCACTGGGCAAAGTGTACTTGATACATAAGGTGCAAAACCTTCATCCATACAACTCCAAGTCAAACGAAGAAACATGGGCATAGCACAAAAGCAGATCTAATGCCCCCTCCTGCCAAGGCTTGCTAAAGATGAACACAGAGCCAAAATGGTTGCCATGGTTAGTTTACTCCTGATACTGAGGGGAGGAAGGAAGACAGATTAAAAGTGACATTTTTAATTTTTCTAGGCCCATAATCCCATTGGGAAAAGGTTGTAAGCATTTGGTAACAGCAAAAAGGACTACAGGTAACCAAGTACAATCAGATGTCTGTTTCTACAACCACCAGAACACAATGCAAACTTAGCAATGTAACTTACTACAACAGTGAAAAATTCAAACATCCCCCCTAAAGGTATACAACAAACAACATTTAAAAAATACATTTATATATGTTCCTGTTAGAATTGTGTGAAAGTTACACAGTGCCCAAGCTATACACTATTCCATGAAAATTTGAGTGCAAAGTTTGTTTTCCTCACTTTCATAGCCACAAAAAAAAAATCCAGAAACAGAAAATGAACACTTGAGTGTTATTCAGCAAAGCTAGTGAAGAATACATAGCTCCTTGACTAAGATAACAGCTTTTATGGACTCCCACAGAGACACTGCGGGAAATAGCGCATCTGCCTCAGGACCAACTGGAGGTGGACCAGCTAGCTTAGTTGCTGTTCAGCTAACACATGGCTGAACTATCACGCCTGTCTCTACATCCACCCTGATGCAAGCAAACCCATCTCCACTAACTTGTTTAGCTTTTCACCTTGAGCCAGTCTTGTCCCTGGAGCTGTACCCTCTGAATCCAACCTTCTTCTGTTAAACGAAGAAGAATTCTTTACAGTACACTCCCATGAGCACGGATGCTCTGTCAGTGATTTCCTCAACGGAGCTGTACTTGAAAACATTTCACCAGACACAGGCAATAAACCTGAGTTTTCAGAAACCAGACTCATTACATTTGCATGGTACCACTTCCCTGCACCTGTTCATCAACCCAGTGCTTCAAGGACGTGCCTCTCATGTGGAGCTTGACCGTACAGCACAGATACACCAACAGATCTATATATTCTTGCTGATCTCAGCCTTACAACGAAGATGCTGGCAAACAGATTCGCTGACTAGCAAAGAACTATCAACAGAGGTCCAGAAGCCCCAGCTCTCTCATTAACTAAACAGCGAAAAGGTGGTGCTTAATGACCGTGGCACACAACAAACTTGGAAAGAAGTACCTTAATAGACATGTAAGTGCAACGTGGCTTAATAAAAGGCTGGTACAAACTTAAGTCTCCAACTTCCTTCTACTTCTCTGTTAGAAGTCCTAAATTATTAGAACACCACTAAAACAATACATCTGGGTCATCATTATTAGATGAGCCTAAATTAATGCCTAGAAAAAGGGTATGCAACCAACTGGTAATCAGTAAGTATCCCAAAACCAATAATACTAATCCTTAGTTCTTAAGCAGTGGAAAAAAATGAAAAAAGGCATTTCAAATTTGTCCTGCAGAATTCAAGTTCTGTGATTGCCATTAGTTGTAATTCCTACAAAATCTGGCTAATCAATGATGCTGGAAAAATACCTATCACTAGAGCAATTGTATTCTTGATGGACAGTCATTATGAGAACATGCAAACAGCAAATTCTGATGGTTTTCTATATCTATGCACCAGATGGAAGACACATTAGGACGTGAAGACAGGTAGGGAGAACAAGAACATCATTGAACAGAAAGAACCCAGGAGAAATTCCAAGAAATACCAGAAATGTGTATTTAGCATAAGGATACAGGTAAGCACTTGTGTTCAGCTATCCATGCCTTATAATTCTGTGGGAAATCTCAACAAAAAACATGACTAGGTATGAACTGTAATACTGAACACATAGCTCTGACCATAATGGTACCAAAAATCTTCTGAGATCTCTGGCAGCTCAATGAAGTACAGCTTCTCAATGAGTATTCCCGTATCTTAGTTCTTAAACTTCTTCAGAGTTTAGCCTCTTCATGTGTCAATTTTTGCCCCAAGTCTTAAAGAAGACTATTGCTACCTTTCTCCTCCTGCAGTGGAAGGAACACCAAGAAGTGTGTGAGAAGTCTGTGGATACTGAGATCCAAGCATTGCAAGGTCTACGCTCTTCTCCAAGATCAACTGCGAGCAATTTTAGAACGTGTGTCAGATGTTACTTTCTCCTTAAAAATGTACATTTACTAACAGTGCTATAGCTATCACAAAAATACTCTGGGTTATAACCAAGTCACCTACAACTCTGGAAGCCATCTTTTAGAAAGAACATACTTACAGGTCATATGAAAACTTCCTCTGAAGATTAGTCTGGTTCTTCTGAAACCAGTAAACATCCAGCTGTAGCTTTCCATATTCTATCTGTAACTCTTTCAAGTTTTCTGACCAAATCAGGATTAAAATAGACATTAAAATACACACATACATATATACCTACATACATTACAACAGAAGTATCAAACAACAGATCAACAGTAAACACGCTAATTCCATCCGTCATGCTTACTACATTTTGTATACAAATGTATCTATAATTATTGAATTTATTCATCACAGATACACAGGACTGGAGAAGAATAGCCTTTCAGCCTAACATATTAACAAAAAGAGTGTAACACAGATTTTTGACCTCTTTTTCTTCATACAGAATACTTGTTTGCAAATGCTTGCTCTGCTATGTATCAGCCCAGGAAATCTTTAGGTCTATGAAATACTAATCAGAACGTAGTATGAAACAGCATTCATGCTTATTAGCCATCTAAAGACAAGCTTACAATGCTTCCCTGAATAATACGCAACTTACAGTTACGTCCCCAAAAACAGGGCATCTACGATTTAGAGTTTTCTTCCTGACAGAAAGCTCTGTGTGAGGGCGCCAGAAGAGCCCACCACAACATATTTACATGTTTATAGAACTTAGGATCTGTTCCCCATGCTTCCTGAGGAATAAATTGCTAGCAACAACTTTGAAGCACAAACATGTATAGAAATTAATTAGACCAAGTTTTCTTATTTAATATAGGGGTTTGTGAATTCCTCTGGTGCTAAAATGCATGACGCAAACACCTCAGGGAGGAATGCAAGAATACACTGCAAATGGTAATAATAAATATTATGTTAATAAATATATTGAGAATACAGACAGAAGCTAGTTTTATTTTGTATTATTTTATAAGGGTAAGGAGTCCTACATTGAGCACTACATGGACAAATCCTCCCATTGAAGGCAGATTAGTCTGACATTGCACTGAACTGTAACTAGCAGACGCAGGATCTAAGTCACCACCGCTCCAGCACTGTCCCCATGACTTGAAGAAAGGCAGCATTCTCAGAAGACACTAGAAAAATGCAAGTCTTAAAAACAGGGGCCCAAAAACCAATACAAGAGAGATGCAGAGGGGTATTACAACATACCTCGTAGACTCTGGATCAATCGTTCATTTACTGTAATGTTACTCATCAGCACTGCCTGGAAGGAGCAAACAGAAAACAATGTTTTAATTGCAAAGGACCTGTGTTACCCTGAATATGACAAACACAAATTAAAACTCTTGTAACAAGATCTTTTCTTCGTGAAGTGCTGGGTTACAACCAAACACAAAAACTTTTAGTTGCTCTTAGAGATTTACTATTACAAACAACGAACATTTGTTCTAACCCAGATTTCCCAGTAAATGGGGCTGGGGGGGTGGGGGGAAGGGAAGATATCACTGCACTTAAATAAAAAGAGGAGGAATTTAAAGAGTCCATTACTAAAATTGCTTGCTGCTTTATTCTGGTGTAATCTCACGATTGCAAGTCACAGCCAGATTTACTGTATTTACCCCTTGAAGGAAGAATACAGCCTAGCACAGCTCGCTACCAAGTACCCTGTCACCAGGGAATCAATACACCTGCATTCAGGCATGCAAGCATGAGCTATGAAAGCATTAGTCATAGAGCATTAAGGGACTCTACGAAAACAAAATGAAGCCTTTGCATTGCACCACTTTTCTAACTATCCTTTCCTTCAGTTTCTTATCAAAGTGCTGGAGTGACCATCTTCCATTCCCCCACATTGCACTCTCTCTCATTCTGAGGAGGCAGTCAACATAGGAACATGTTTTGTCCATTCTTCCATCAATCCCCCTCTACCAACCCATATATATACATGCCCCAAAACACCTGGGTATTGACAGAACTAAGGCAAGCCTAAATTAATTTTTTTCTGTTAGCCAAATGTCAGGAAAACTCAGATTCATATTTAACATTTAGAAAGTCTGGTGCAGAAAAGACCTCTTAAGACTACAAAAGATGAGATCCACTAACCCTTCAGAAACAATCCAGTTCAGTCTTAGGACCATATTTCTTACACTTCACTGCCAATTTCCTTGTTATCCTTCTCCCAGGAAACCCCAGCATTCTACAAGGGTCCCAGATCAGTATACATCAAGTCCCCAGCTTCCCAAAGTTTCTGCTCAGGTACTATTGTGTACGTATGTCCACACCACTTTAATGCAAAGAAATAACTGCATCCATTCTGTCCACCCAAGTCACCCTGAAACACTGACAACGCTGTCAGTGCCCTTTTTCACGAAGACTACTGACAGTTGGTTAGGAAAAGCAAAGCATTCAGTCAATGAGTGGGATAGCACATAGCAGAGCAGTAGATTTGCCTTCTGTTGACCCTTTAAAGAGTCCCAGTTCAAAGAGGCAGTCATTCACATGTTGATAAAGAGGCAGCCGTTTTCAGCCCAATAAAAGAAATATTCCCACACTATTCTATGCATACAGCTGGCCCATGAACACCTCAAGAACAAAGGCCTTGATCCTTTGTTAAAAAGGAAAAAATAACAACAACATGAATACCAACATATACTCAGGATTGTTTAATACTTCTCCCTCTCCTTTCTCATGTGACAGGTTTAAAAAAAGGCTCCAGATTTGTTGTCAGTGGTTTATCAGGGAAAGGAAGTTAATGTTTTGATAAAAATGCCAAGTTCTGCTAATGCATGAGCAATGTAATAAGGTTGTTTCATTATTATCACCTCCAGGGTTTCTAGCACTGGGCATTACCAGGAACTGTCAATGGACTAGAAAAATCAATATGACAGTCATGACAATTTTATGTTCCTACAGTTTGTTCTGTTATGGCGGGGGGTGTTTCTTAAAATGAAACTCCTAAATTTATTTGACAGTAAAACAGACAAGTATTAAGTGCTTTGTACGTTAGGACAATAACCATGATTAGCTTAAGTGAATAAAATTATTTGCCATGGGAAAGGGCTCCTTAAATCACTACAGGGAAAGAAAAAAAGCATGCCGTGGTCTTTCTGGATGCATATAAAACTTCCTTTTGGCAATGCCACACCTACCTCCCTGAATTTGTAGGTAAGAGTCCAGGAAAAAAAAAAAAGCATGAAAATCTAGTTAGCTGTTTAACTTGCACAGGAAATCCTGTTTAATAATTTACAGGGCAGTGCTCCAACCACCAGCTTTCAATCTGACTGTATCAATACATCAAGCTTTCCGTTCTTCCTCCTCCTGTCATCCAAGTGTTAACTACTCTTCACCTCATGGCTGTGAATTAGGCAGATGTTATTTCCTTTTGCAGTTTTATGCAGGTTAAGAATCCAAACTGCTGGGTAGCACTCAGCAAACACATGCCAAAAGTCAGTTCTAGGAAAAAACTAACATTTTAAATCTCATTCAGCCCACAAAACAAAACTTGTGATCCCTAGGAGTAAGAATCCAGCTTTTAGAAACTCACTATAAGACCATATCAAAATCTCATCTTCTATGACAGAGTAACTCCTTTAACATAGAACCAGCTCGTTATATTTGCAAACATGTCTTGCACTGAACTACTTGTGACTATCACAGAGGAAAGGTCAATCTTGTAATCAGAGTCAGTGCTGTGGACAGCAAGTCTTCAGAAACCAAAGATCAAAAGCCACAGTACCACCAGCAGTGATGGAAAGATCTTGCTCCAGCTGGACAGCAATTTTTTAATGACACTTGCCAGAGATTTATTTTTGTTTATTCACCACAGAATATGTCTATATAAGTCACACTCCACTTAAGAAACACAAAAATTAAAGTTATTGTTTAAACCAAAAAAACAAAACATAACACAGAAATACCTGTGAGGAAGCTTTGACAGGAATGATTTCAAAGAATATGTTTTGATCACATACTCTGAACTATGTACGTGCATTTGAACTGATTAATGCTTTGCACAGGAGTCTCCATAAACATATTCCTTGGAGGCATTACTAAAATAACAGCTTCAGCATTTGCTACCATTATTAATCAAGCTAACCCAAGCACACTGAACTGACGTATGTGCTTTCTAACACTGACGTAAAAGCACAATGAGATATTGCAAAAGGAAAAAGGAATAAGATGGCAAAGAACATCATGAGAGGGAACACTGGTTTCACAACTAAAACCTAAGAAAAAAGGGGCTTTGCATTCACAAATATAGCTCTGACAAGGAGAAAAAGATGCACCACAGCATCAGTACATCAGCTGCTAAGAAAAAAAACCAACCGGGAACAAAGCAACCTGTGAGGGTAAGATTTATACATCCAGAAAACAGCAGAAACAAACATTTATAATTAATCACTGAGAAGGAGGGCCACCTATTTCAAGATTAACTCAAATTGATCTAAGACCTTACCACAAAAAAAAAGGTGCAGTTCTGCCTTGCATGCTCCTACTGCTCCCCACCACCACCATGCTGGCAGCAGAGAACAAGCCATATTTGGATTATCTGTTCACTTCTTAACTACATCTGGAAATTCCCACCCCCCTTTTCTATTTTTGCAAACACACCTTCCCGCACACACACTTTGCTAGTAACGCGCATCATCAATTCTTTCCTCTCTTTGTACTCTTCTTCATCACTTCAAAATAACCTTCAGGAATAAAGAAACCATTTATACTAGCCACAAAAAGGCTTTTTCATTCTAGGACATGAGATTAATGACTAACTACATATTAGTAAGTAGGGAGAAAATTCATAAATAAGATCCCTAAAAAAATAATTTCTCTTTTAGGTTGGTCTGTGTGCTGCACACTTAGGTATACTAGCGTGGAGAAGCACCAGTTGAAGCAAGTCTAAAACAAACTTCAAGCCCAAAATGGAGAATACATTGGTCATTTAAATCTATTTCTCACTGAACTGAATTCCATTCAGAAATTACAGACTTTTCCGCATCCTTAATAAACAGAAAAAACCCCAATCGACCAAACAAAAAACACCTCCAAAACAAAACCAAAAAACTCAGCTCTATTCCCAAAGAGTGATCCTGGTAAAGATCAGGGACTCAATCTTGTTTCATAGATAACTCTTAAGGTACATATACTCTAAATCTCCACTCTTAGGGTGCCTACAGTTCAGCTAGTCCCAGACCATCCTTTTTTTTTTTCTCCACCATGTGAAAATCTATTTTAAACAGAGGTAGTCTTCTAGACCTCTGCTGCAGCAGTTATGAGTAAGCAGATTGATTTCGCTTGCTAATTTAGTAACATCATGCTATGGCAAGTAGAGTAGGGCATGAGGCAGTGCTTGCTTTTCCTTAAACCCTTTTCAAAACTAGAAGATGCCACACTGTTTGGTTTAAAAAAGAAAAACAAAACACACCTAGTCATCTTTTCCTTTTCACAGTAGGCTTTCTTCTCTCTCTCCACTTCTAAGCGGAGCTGACTTTCCGCATACCGATAAGTACTTTGTCTCAGAATGCTGTGCTGGGAATTGAAATTTTCCCAGAAGGAGGGGATCCGAGAGCAGCTGTGGCCAGTGTTAAAAGACACTGAGCAACAGGACAGTGTCGTGCTTCACATATAATGTACAAAGCTTGGCCCCTCTCCTCAGTAAAACAAGATGTGGGCTGGGGAAGAATTACATAAATCCAAAGAAAATTACACACTGCAAAAGCATGTTCTAGCTGTTAAAAGTAAGAGATTACATGTATTGTTCTCCTGTTGCACTCTTCAAAAAGACTATCGTGGCTGTGTACATCCCAGCAGCCACGAGTCCTGAATAACAACCATACAGAATATTGTTCTTTAGAAAATGTCTAACAGATTAGAAACAGCCCTTTTGCACTCCTGATTCCTGTTGTTACTAAAAGCTCCTGTAAGCTCCATCTCTTCGGCCTATTTCTGTACAGATTTCCAGAAGCCATTTGCTAAATCTACATTAATCCTTAAAAATTCAAGCAGATTTTTTAAAAGCAGACTGGTGACAGAAGTCTTTTATACATACTCAGACCTAAGAAAATAATTACAGCAGCAATTTCCCAGGATTACATTGCCTCAGTGAATGGTGAGCTCACAGTGTATATTTCAGGCTCTGACTACCTCCTACCTTCTATGCCTTTGCCCTTTAAATAGCACAGAGACAGTTCTACCAGAAAAGAAGACAGATTTAACTCAAAGCGGTTACTACACTGCCACTGACGATGACTTTAACGGGGCAAGTATCTCATTGGTGTATTAGTCTGGTATAAAACTAAATCAGTGGCATAATTATTGTGTATTTTATCAGCAGAGTAGTAAGACACAGTGAGAAAAGATGAACTGCAATTAAGACCGGTCTCAGATGTTATTTAAGAGTTGGTTTTGGTAAGGAGTTTAGATCATGAAAGTTTGTTCCCATGTAGATTTCTTCTACAACCAGAAGAACCGTAATTCCTCCCTGAAAAAGAGGGGTTTTCGAGACAGACCATTCACTCCTACACATCAGCTGAAAGCATTTTCATTTCTCTTTAAGAACAAGAAAACTAAACAAAATCCCATTTATCACTCAAAGCTCTGTCTAGTTAGTTAGACAGTTTGTGTTACTTGTAAAGTGAGTTGAGAGACTTTGGATTTGGATTTACATTCATCCTTGCTGGACTACGTAAATACTTGCTGCTAAGCTCCATGGGGTAAATAAAGTTCAGTTCAAAGATGAAGTTTCCCATAACCAGAAGGGGTGAATTCATTACTTGCCTTCCAGGAATCCCAGATTCCACTGGAATCCATGGAGCTGAAAAACAAGGCTCCATGTGCCTCTGTATGTGTGCAAATACGTATGCATGTATGAATATACAACACCCGCTTATACATGGATATAGGTACACATACAAAAAAAGAGCACTCAGAAACAGCCTTTTCTTATATTCCACATTCCTCTGTGGAATAACCCCTGGTCCTGGACAGCTTCTTCAGCTCAAGGTCCTTAGTGACGAAAACTAAGCTCTCCCTCTCTTCCCTGCCAACATATCAAGGGCACTCCTAAATTAGAATGGATGAATCCATGTCAAGTTGTCTGATGGTATCTTTCGACAAATACACAGGTTCCCAGTAAAAGAACCTTCCCTACTCTTAAACTATAGAGTTGGAACACAAACAACAGCTGTGCAGGATATTTGCTTATGTGTCGCAACAAGAGTAAATTTTGAATTTACCAAAGAGGTGCACAGGCACATACACACTCATCCTACCACTTCAGGCTCCTGAGATATGCTCTTCTCTAGTCACAAAAATCAAAAGACATGAAATGAGTCCATTGCACCACTTATCTAATGCTTCCTACAGAATCAGCTCCTGGGTTTTCAACAGCAAGCTTCATTCCATTACCGAACAACTGTGTTTTAGGATGATGAAGGTAAAAGCACTTAAGAGCTTCCTCAGCTATATTAGATTGGCCCCAAAATCCACCTTCCCCGGCATCCTGTCTGTAACACTGGATGCCAAATGAACACCAAGGCAGCCATAAAGCACGGCATTTTCCAAGCAGCAGCTACTGCTGGCTGAGGAACACTTGGAGCCAGAATGCACACCTTTGTATTGGGTGGTGGGGTAGGTGTTTGTTTGAGGTTATCCAGTTGCTTTTTAACCCACACAGACCCCCTGCAACTGGGCATTATGGATGTCACACACTTGCACCTTCACCATCTATTGCACAAAGAGCACTTCTGCCCAGTCTGAACCACAACTGCATTTGAAGACCATCAACCATGCCTTGTCTCTCACAGCCACGAGCACTTTCTGCACCATTTGGGATCCTGGAGGTGCCTGCGATGGCTCTCCTCAGCTGGCTCTTGTCCAGCCTGTAATCTACGCTGTGGATTCCTGTAAAGAAACTACTCACAGCTTTAGTTGTCCTTGCTGTTCTCCTCTGCATGCCTTTCCCAGCACTCCAAAACCCCACCAGTGACCTCCCCACAGTACAACTAACCTGATTTATTTCTAAGCTGCTTTGTAACTTTCATCTTATCGTTCATCCCTGTGACAACACTGTCTAACCACATAGCTGCACAATTTTTCTACAAGTCATGCTGTGTGTAGCCTTTTGTAACGCCAGGTGTGAACGTGTTCTTTAGCCTCCCTCATCCTTGTCACTGATTCTTTCAGAAGGAAACTGCAAGAGACTTCAGAAGCAAGATTTCCTTTTCCAGAAGCAGCTTTGTCAAAGACCTCCCCAGACCACCACATTCACACCCATGTCCAAGTGTTCAACAGTATCAGGACATGTCCAATACTTCCCATCACTTTTCCTGGCACAGATGCCAGATTTAACGGACAACAGCTCCTACATGTCCTCTAGACTCAAAACACCATCACAAGAAGAAAGGTGGATTGTGTGGTGGCAGCCAAATTTGTCTGGTACCACAGTAATTTGAAGCAGAAAGGCTGCACACCATGCTTGGCAGAAGCAACATTTCATCCATTGACCTCCCTTAAAACTCCTGGGTGAGCTCCCGTCACCAAGTCTCAACATACACCCATATGCCAGCCTGTGCTGTAAACTCTGTGCCCAGCACTTCCAGTTCCAGTGACTTTTAATAATTCCAGCTAAAGGAAAATCCACTTATGAAAAGGAAGCATAAAATGTATTTCCCTTGTAAAAAAGAGTGTACAGAACATTAAGGAAATACTCAGTTCTCTTTGCTGTTTTCTTAATTTTTTTTTTTTAAACTCATGCATGTGGTTTCATTCATTGCAGGACTGAACTGGGATGCAAAAAGATGCCAAAATAGAATGATAGGTTTCACCAACATGTAAACTGGGGTACCTTGCCAAAGGATAGTAAATTTAAACAATTCCTACAGCACTCAGTAGCAACGACCACTGCTTGGAGGCAGGAAATCTTGCTTCTGAAGTCTCTTGCAGTTTCCTTCTGAAAGAATCAGTGACAAGGATGAGGGAGGCTAAAGAATACGTTCACACCTGGTGTTACAAACAAGATTGATTACCCACTTGAATGTTGTCTAACTATCCTGGGGTATCTTTTGAGTAAATACATACATTAAAAAAAATAAATAAAGAGACAAACTATACCTCACCTTTTTTAAAGTATACATAAAGACTGAACCCAAAGAGAAAATGTCAAAGAAACATGTTTGTCTCATAAAGGTGAAAACAATTGGTTACTATTTCTTGGAAGGTCTTGGATAAAAATGACTTCAAAAAAAATTAAAAATATATGCAACTCAAATGTGTATTAATGAAACAATTCCACTTTCCATTTTTATTCAGTTTTTCTTCCTTTAAGTCCTTCAGAGATTATTCTGGTGATATTTCATTCATGCACCGCAAGTTTTGAGCAGTGAACCATCACCTAATGGTGAACCCTTTACCTGAAGAGTACCTATATACATCAGTTGTGTATGTGCAGTCTGCTTAAAATCATAGTCCTGGAAAGCTGCTATAAACTTCAGTCAAGAGACTCTACAGTAGAAGCAATAAAACCTGAATGAACTCTCTCAGCTAAATACTTCTGGCAACAGCAAAAAAAGTGGTATTAATGACTAACAGCCGCATCCAAGGTGGTATCAGCAACATGAGGAAAACACACAACAAAACAGTTTGCAAGACAACACACAGCAGTAATCGTACACTCTGCTATTTCAGTAGGCCTGTTCACGTTGTTCATAAAGCACTTCCACCCCTCTGGAAATGCTGCGCTGTCAGGACCACTGCCATGAAAGGCCAATCTAACCTGATGTCTGCCAGTGCCATTGGGTTTTGGAGGCATAACGCCAAGGTGCCACAAAGTTTGTAATGCATTTAGAAACAAATGTCAATCCTTTAATCCTACAAATGTATACAAATGTATTTGACAATACAAATATATCTGTTGGTGCAGCTTTTTCTTTTCCTTAAGTTTTAAAACGTTAGCATACAGGAAAGAAAGCCAGAGGCCAACCCAAGGTTGGTAACAATCATCTACAGAGGGGGTAGAGGTTTTATTCAGAAGTGCTGTTACTTCCAGCTTCTAATATTTCATGTGTTATACAATGAATGCTATAATGCATACTCAATGTCCGTTTTCTAATTATTATACAATGACACATAAATTAAATGTTTTGCCACACCAACACTGACTGTACGCCCACCAGCTGGAACACTTGGGGTAACCTTATGCTGTTGAAAGTGTCTTGGTAAACCACAGCCTCACAGAAAACTGTGGCTAGAAAAGGCCCCACCTTCTCTTCCTGATGTACTCTGTTGGTATTTTCCATCTGAAAGCTGTGCAAGGACTGGATTTTGTTGATCTGCTGTCGCTGCTTCTCTAGCTCCCCTTGGAATTCATTCTTTTTGAGCTCCACAGCGCCCCTCTCTGCAGCCGCCCTGCGGACTTTGCCTTCCAGATCTATGATCCGACCCTGAGGAAGAGCAAATTGACCAAAGTGAACAGAAATGCTTCCCCCTTGCCGGACTCTTCTCCAACACATTCAAGGAATACCAAATTTCACAGAACTAACCACGCTAATTTCATCAAAGTATTGTGTCGTTCAGGGATACCTGCCACGCACACACACACCAGTTTTACATAAATTAACAGTACCGCATATTCCGTAAAGACCATCAAAATTTCAGTTAAAGAGAAATGCAAAGCTGCCTCAGTACTTGAGCTTAAAAAAAAGCCAAAACATCCCCACCAAAAGAAAAAAACCCAAAGAGATTGCAGGCTGCAATCTTTCTGAACTACAGGGCCAAATAATTCTTTAAATTTAACCCAGACAATTCTGACATCACTGCACGTCCCAGTGTTGATCCTAAACTAACTCAGAGGGAAAGTCCATCTCTCAAATCAATACGTTTTCCTGGAAGACCCGGGAATGAGCAGAGGGAGACAACACTGCCCAACTTTTACACAAATAGCTGACATATGACTTGCACAAAGACATGTATGAGAAAAACTCATTTATAAGCAGAACATCATCATTATTCTTGATTGTTCAAAGAGCAATGACAATCAGGAAAATTCAATGCCATCACATACTGCACATACAAACACAGAGACATAAGGTAAGGAATCAAGGTTGTTGCTATCACGGGGTTTTTTTACATTATTTCTAAATATTTTGTGTTAAAATCACTCTCGAGCAGCAAGGAAGAGTACAAAGACACACGAGGATGTGTGTGAGAATATCAATAGAATTAACCCAGGTAGAAAGACCTGTGGATTCCAGGTGGATTAAAAAAACAGATATAATAAAAACTATGCATCATCCAAGACTCCAAGAAAACAGAGCAAATTTCCTTACACCACAGTATGCTGCATATTACTGCCTGCCTACTCTGTTCCTCTGCCACGGAAAGTAAGAGAATGGAGAGGAGGCGGCAGGGGGTGGGGGGCAGCCAGGAAAAAGACTTGACGTTTAGCTGGAAAAGCAAAGAAAAGCACTTACTCTATTTCAGTCATAATAGCTGCAAAGTCTTGCCAACAAACAAATGGGTTGAGAGAGTGCTTTAGAAGCTACATCCGTGCCTTCAGCTGTGCTTTTATTTCATTCAGAGTGCACGACTACGCAGAAGTGAAACAATTTTCAAGCTAACTTTGGGAGAAATGTACAAGATGATATGGAACGGTAAGGAGGACCTTATGTCTCTGGGTTATTTATTGAGATCAAGAATAAGCTAGCACGGTAGCTTATTTTCCTCACTATCAGCTGCCTCCAGGCCATGCCGCAAAGCTTCAGCCGTACTGACACAGTTACTATCTGCTGGTAGCCACAATCCTGAGGCCACTGACTGAAGGGAAAACAAGGGATGACCAGAGTCCCAGAAGACAGGCCATCATACCCTCCACCAAGAGAAAGCTAAGACGTACCCTTAACCACATGGCTAGAGACACGTGTCTTGTTCAAATAGTGCCCGCTCTGAGGTGAAACAGGAGTTCAGTTCCTACAGCTGTCAATTCATTACTAAAATCTGGCTCAATCACAAAGAGGATACAAATTCAGTGGAAAAACTTCGGAGGAGCTCTCATGAGCCATGTTTAATCACCAGGTTGTTACTTTTTAGGTTTGCTTGTTAAAACTGAAAGAAAAAACATTGTCACAAAACAGAAACTTTATTCACATGCTCCTCAACTTCAGAACACATGCTCCAGAAAGGATTAAAATGCCAGCCCAACAGTCACAGACAACACGGCATAAGAAAAATAGCAGACAAGATAACTATTCCATGTGAGTTGTGGGCCCTCTTCAGGAAAGGTTTCTAAGAAACACAAATTCAGACTTTTAGACACTGTTTCTGAACAAGCTAGGTTTCCTTGAACTTGGTGGGAAAGCGTGTATATGTTCTCATGGGTTATGTAAGAAAAAAAATCTAGGGAGATCATCAAATCGCAGGAGTGCCAGTCTCAATGTACAGTTAGGAAGAAAAACAGAGGATGACACATCTGTAAACTGAAACAGCACAACACAGCTGAATGCTTTGTGTTAGCAGAAGTAACAAGTACCATACATGCAGGTCTTCAAGTTTTGGGTCCCCCTCACCTAGAAATAGGCATTCCCCCCATCGCCCACTACTAATAACCAACAACTGAAGGAATTCTCACAAATATTACAAGGCAAAGCTCATGGCCCACCATGTGCAGGGGAAGCATCCTTCTTGTGGACTATGTTTATTAACCAGACAAGTACATGATGATGTGCAGAGCAATAGGAAAGTTACCTGCAGATCCACGCTGCGAGAACTTGCAATCCAGTAATTGAAACCCAAAACAATGATGCACGCCACGAGCGCCGCCACAAGGAGAGGTGGAGACTTCATCCCTCGGCAGCTGTTTCCCAGCCCTACCATTTCAAGAACAAAACAAACCCAAAGAACCACAACAGTATGGAAACCTGCAAATTAAAACACACACGTTATGCTGCATCCTCAGCTACAGCTATTTTATACACACAACAAAACTTTTACTGCAATAACACAACAGCTGTCAGCTGAAGGGACTATACCCAGCAAGGGAGGCACGCTGTCTAGATATTCCCACTAGAAGGACAATGAAAAGCCATCTTGTACTATTAGCTTGTACATAAAGCTTCACAGGGACTTGAGGGGGAAGTTTTGAATATTCCTAATAATATAATGAAAATCCGCAATAAACTGAACAAACCAGTCATCCCTTTACCATATATTCCATCCAAAAAGTTAATTAGGGAACACTGCTCTACAGGTTGAGGATAGATTCCTTGTAATCTCTTTTAGTCAGAAAATAAACTTAGTCTTACTGTTTCAGGAGTAATTTGCACTTTGCTTCCCACACTTGGGTGGTTACAACTTACTCCCTCTGATAATACTATTTTAACTCTTTGGTTCCAAGCTTGTAAATAAATAAATAAGTCAGATTGAACCAAATTACTTACTCTGTTGATTTCAATGATAAATTGTCTTATGTGGTGTTTGTTTTGATCCTCAGCTGCTTCCTCTGCTCGTAACAGAAAATAAATAACCTTGCTTTAACGAATGAGCAGTACCAAGGGTACTACTGGTTGCTAGTGAGACTTGGGTTGTTTCTGTGGAACAGCCCATCTTAACAGAAAAGTGGGGGCAAAGGGCAGTTGCAATTCTGTTTGAAATAGGTCATATTCATCCTGTAACATGATAAAATCTGGTCTTACTAAGTGTAATAGCACCTAGTTCAATGAATCCTCAAACTCCATTGGGAATCTAGGGCACAGTTTGTAATAGACTGCTCTCTTATAAACTGAGATCAACTTCTTTTGTGCCATTATGAGTCATTTACAGAACAACCAGGTGATCAGGCCCAGTCAGCACGGGTTTATGAAAGGCAGGTCCTGCTTAACGAACCTGATCTCCTTCTATGACAAATGACCCCCCTGATGGACGAGGGAAAGGCTATATTGTTTACCTCGACCTCCATAAAGCCTTCGACACTGTTTCCCACAGAATTCTAGTGAAGAAAAGGACTGCTCATGGCTTGGATGAGCATACGCTTTGCTGGGTAAAACACTGGCTGGACGGCCGGGCCTAGAGAGTGGTGATCAGTGGGGTTAAATCCAGCTGGCGGCCGGTCACAAGTGGTGTTCTGCAGGGGTCAGCACTAGGGATGCTCCTGTTTATTTATCAATCATCTTGACGAAGGGATAGAATGCACCCTCAGTAAGTTTGCAGATGACACCAAGTGAGGTGGGAGTGTTGATCTGCTTGAGGGTAGGAAGGCTCTGCAGAGGGATCTGGACAGGCTGGATCAACAGGCTGAGGTCAACTGCATGAGCTTCAGGAGGCCAAGTGCTGGGTCCTGCACATGCAGCGCTACAGGCTTGGGGATGAGT